CACATCTGCTTTTTAATTAACATTTGTACCATCAACCAAACAAAGATATTCCAAATAAAAGCACCAGATCAATAAATTAAAGGCAGCTATTAACCACCATACAACACTTAATCAGTGAGATTTGTGCCACAATATCTATTTCAGGTTGGGGCCAGCGTGGACAAAAGATAAAAATAAAAGTCACACAGGAAGCTGTGGAAGGATGGAATTTTCCGTGAGCTTCTGGCCTCAGCGCTCGGGCACATTCCTGAAGAGGACCTGCGTTGCCTCCACCCTGCGCCCTCCCGCAGGCTGCGCTGGGGGAGCCCTGACCTCCTCCTCCTCCGGGAAATCCCTAGCCCACAGCCGCACGGCTGGATTCTGAATATTACAAAATCCCTTCGGACCTGATGACAGGTTGTTGGACTAAATTGTTACCTTAATGAATTGTGTTTTCTCTACATACTTTCCAACCTGGCCATGATTACTCCTGCCGCTGTATGAATGCTTATTCCTTTAGGTATTGTCAGAGATAACTCTGCTGTTTGAAGAGTAGAGGTGTCTTCGTTTTAGGCAGCTTTGCCTTTATTAATATTCAGAAGACAACATCCTTTACTCTGTCCAAACCCATCTTGCTTCCTTCTCAAATACCTCACAGGAGTCGAATCAGCCTGGCCAAGGCCCCCACATTATTGTCATCTCTGTTAATCACCCCTCAGGACTGCGGTGGGATGAAAAGGGATCTCACTTGATTCCATGATTAATAGACGAGAAACATTTCCCGAAGTCTTGACACGTTTCTTCTGTGACGAAGTCAGAGATGGAGAAAAGGGAAGGGGAGATCTGTTTGCTGTTATTTCTCACAGGACAAGCAATTGCATTGTTGGGGAGTTAACTGACTGTTGGGTGCATGACACTGTGTTAAATGCTATTTCTCAGCCTTCCGCCCAAAGAGAAGAGAAATTAAACGTGCCCCTCTGCACTTCCCAAACACCAGGAACTTCAACTGGGCCAAAAGTATAGCATCTGGCTGGAGCCCTTGACCTTGAGTTCTGCCAGAGCTGGAGATGGGTCTTAGGAAGAGGCCAGAAGAGGGGAGAGGGCAGTAGGGAGCGCGTGAGCTCGCTCACCTGGCTGGCACGGTGGCCTTCGCCCACACCCCGATGCCCACCCTGAGCCGTGGGGACTCTCCCCTGCAGCCCTCCCCTTGAGGGTCTCTGTTCACGAAGCCCCCCTGGGCCTCCGTCAAAGTGAAGCTCCTGCCGAAACCAGTTTGGCTCAGTGGATAGAGCGTCGGACTGCAGACTGAAGGGGCCCAGGTTCGATTCCTGTCAAGGGCACGTGGTGCCTGGGTTGTGGGCTCCATCCCCAGTAGGGGGCATGCAGGAGTCAACCAATTTATGATTCTCTCTGATCATTGATGTT